AATTAATATAATAAATTAACTTTTTTAAATGTCTATTTTGCTCTTATTTAAAAAAAAAACTTTTTATTTTAAAAAAAAAAATTACTAGATGAGTAAAGAAAATCGGTAAAGAATTACAAAAATTTATTTAATACTAATATATATCATTATACTATTAAACATTTAGATAATGCTATAGTACACAAGCTTTTGTAGTATTAATTATCACAAATATTATAATTAGATCATTTTTAATTATAACTAAAAAATAATAATTATAATTAAACACTACATAAAGTATAATTAAATAATTTTTAAATCATAACTAAAATAATGTTATAATCAATAGTTATAACTAATACTATATGATCAAATACCACTACTGAAACATAACATTTTCTTAAATGGTAAATTATTTATCAATTTTATATATACAAACAAAGTTAAAATAAGCATTTTAAAAATTAATCTATTATATTAATTTTTTTCTTAGTTGGGTTAACGATTGACAAGCCTTCTTTTAAGATATTCTAATAATTTTTTAACTTTTTATAAAAAAAAATATATGTAAAAAATTAAAAAAATAAAATAATAATTTATAGTAATTTTTTAATTTTATAACTAAAACATATAATTCCAAAAGGTGATTTTTTTTTTTAGATTGCCCAAACGGGATTTAAATTGCAAGGAAAGTTGAAACCAAATCAACCTCGAAGGTGTCAATTTAATTAACCTTTTTTTATTTATTTATAAGGAGGATGACAACACGACAAAACAAAATGAGATATAAATCAATAATATCATTTCTTGTTTGACTTGGATAATAGTTGCAAATTGTAATTCACAGACACAGAAACAGAGAGAAAGAGGGGGAGGAGAAGAAGAAGAAGATGGCGAATGGTGGTGGTAATGCAACAGGGAGTGGCAATAGTAGTAGTAAGAAGCCTCACGCGGTGTTCATTCCGTTCCCTCTGCAAGGCCACATAACACCATTGTTGAAACTTGCAAAGCTGTTCCACCACAGGGGTTTCCAAATCACGTTCGTCAACGCCGCCTTCATCAACCGCCGCCTTCTCAAATCCTCTGCAGCCGGAGCCCTTACTTCTCCTTCATCTTCTTCTGTGGCCGACTTTCGATTCGAAACCATTCCCGACGGCCTTCATTTCGGCGATGATGAGGAGATCACCCCACAGCTAATGTACTTCATCTGCGAAGCCTCCCGCTACAACTTCGTGGTTCCATTTCGCCACCTTGTTTCTAAACTCAATCATGAAGACAGTGCAGCAGCTCCGGTGACTTGTATTGTATCTGATGCTCACATGGCCTTTCCCATCACTGTTGCTCAAGAAATTGGGGTTCCTAGCTTCCTCTTCTGGCCTAATAGTGCTTGTGGTTTCATGAGTATCAAGCACCATAACCTTCTCAAGCAAAGATCTCTTATACCACTTAAAGGTATGTACATACATGTGCTTAATAAATACTGTCTTAATTCTTGTTTTTTCCACTTTGTATGTATTGTCCACCACCAAGTATTAATGCATTTATAGGCTTATTTTTAAATCATTTTTTTAGCATGATACAACGCAATATTACAATGAGGATCAAATACAAGTTACAACTCAAATCATAATTTTCATATAAAGACCCTAAACAAGCCAATACAAGAGGAATAAGGCCCGCATGTTGGTCAGAAGAGTTGAACTTTTACCTCACTAATCCAACCGGATAACCAATTCTATAAAATGTTAATCCCCTCTTCACTATTAATCTTGCTAATCAGAAATCAATCACATTCTGTATAGGCAGGCAATATGGCCTGATGCATATTCTTAGCATGTATCACTCTTGACATTAATTGGGTGGAACCTGTGATAGTGGTTGTATGGAAACCAAGGGTTGCCTGCTAATAATGTGAGGAAATACTTCTTTGGATTCTGCAAATGTATTGCTTGAGTTTTCCCAATGTACTACAGTTTAGAGAATAGGTTATGATATGGAAGGTGATGGCCAACCAAAGTAATGATAAGGGATGTTGTCCATGACAATCAAATACAGATCAATTCCTTATTAGCAATTTTAAGACTCAGCAGAAGATTCATTCGGGAATGTGTTCTAACCACAAAGGGAAATAGACATGGCTGGTAGGATTGGAGTTGTCTCATGTTAGGATATTGATTATCGATGCACAAGTAATGATACAACTTATTGATTGAGTTGGAAGAACTTGTACTCTTTCTCCACATTTAGATCCAACACCATGCAAAATTTTGAAAGAAAAAAAGAAAGAGAAAGAAACAAGGACTTTAATGAAAAACTACACATAAAAGAAAGGGATTTTTGTTATTTTCAAGATATTGAGTGCGATCACATTAAACATCTTTTGAGGTTCCATTGTTTTTATTTATAAATGTGATGTAGTTGCACCTCTTTCTGAGCTAACCATTTTGTTGATTTACAGATGAGCTTGCAGACACCATTGTAGATTGGATTCCTGGATTGAAAGATATCCGTCTCAAGGATGTTCCATTTGCAGAAATAGACAAATATGACTTTCCCATGAGAGAAATGGAGGAAGCATACAAAGCTTCGGGAATCATTTTCAATACTTTTGACATCCTCGAGCAAGATGTTTTGGATGCCATCTCGGCCATGTTTCCTCATGTTTATACCATTGGCCCTCTTCAGCTTCTCCTCAACTCAACCTCTGATGATGGGTCTATTGGCAGCAGTCTATGGGAAGAAGAATCTGAGTGCCTGCAATGGCTCAATTCTATGAAACCCAACTCAGTTGTTTACATTAGCTTTGGCAGTGTTGCAGTCATGGAGCCACAGCAACTGACTGAGTTTGCCTGGGGCATTGTCAATAGCAACCAACCTTTCTTATGGATAATTAGACCCAATTTGGTGATGGGGGAGGCGGCAGCACTGCCACCTGAGTTGCTAGAAAAGATTAAAGGAAGAGGTATGATTGCAAAGTGGTGCCAACAAGAGCAAGTTCTTAAGCACCCCTCAGTTGGAGGGTTCTTAACGCATTGTGGATGGAACTCAACTCTTGACAGCTTATGTGCTGAAGTGCCCATTTTGTGTTGGCCATGGCTTGGTGATCAATGTATAAACCGTAGATATAGTTGCAGCCATTGGGGTATTGGCATTGAGATGAATAAGGATGTGAAGAGAGATGAAGTGGAGAAGCTTGTGAGAAACTTAATGGAGGGAGAGCAGGGGAAAGAATTGAAGAAAAAGGTCATGGAGTGGAAGAAATTGGCAGTTGAGGCCACAAGTGACGGTGGATCCTCGTTCATGAATTTGGAAAAATTGGTGAATGAAGTACTAGGATAATGAAGCTTTTTATGTTTTTAAGCGTTGTAATAATTCCCTTTTTGGTCTGGGAATGTGCTGCCTTAGCTCCTTTGTCTTGTTGGATTCAAGATAGTAGAAGAAAAAAAAAATAAAAAATAAAGAAACCGGCAGAGCTTTTACTTTGTGAATCATTCTTGATGATGTGCAATATATATTGTTGAGACATTATTTACCATTTGATTTTGTGGATTTATTGTAATTATTAATTAGTTGAAGAGCCATGTGATGTTATTGTAGTGTTCTCGGTCCATAGAAAACTCTAATCTACATTAAGTGAGTCATCTTTTGTCCTCCAATTATTTAAAAATTGTGAGTTATTATGTCTCGCCAGTAATATTTCTCATTATGCCATTGGTTTGGACCATCACGTAGGCAAAATATCACACTTCCAGAGTACTGAAGTGAACGAGAAAAATCATATATATCTTTCTCATGGTAGTCCATAAAGTTATCAACTGGATTCTTTTCTAACATTGTCATTTGTTTTCCTGTTTAATGGAGGTATATAATTGGTTATTGGTCTAAAATAGACAACTTATTATTCTAAAGCATGTTATAATGGAGAACTGGACAGTGTAATATATAGTTACCCAATAATGTGTTCATCCAACAAAGACAAACAAACCCTCCATGCCTAAAAAGATTTGTTGTGATTTCAACAACCTAAACAACAAAAAATACAAACCCTATAGGAACAATTTTTTGGTCACCAAAATCTCCAAGGCCTGAATCTTTTTGAATCTGAATGTAAACTAACAATCACAATTTGTTACAAAACCCAACTTAAGGCTCAAAAGGCATACCCCCTAACAATAATTTACACCTCATTTCTTCATTTTCTATCCAATTTATTATATATAGCATGAATTATTGTTCCATCCACACAATTCACACACCCAAAAACAATGAGAATAATTTCGAGAAACACTACTGTGTCTAGCTCAATAATCCCACAGACACGTCCATATAAAAGCATGCAAAGCCCATACATAAATCAACAAATTAAACAAAAATAAAGCAGTAATGGAACAACAAGAAGGAACCAAGACAATCTCCACCTTTTTTTCTTTTCTTTTCACAGATAATGAAGAGATCTCCTTTTCTTTCTTTCCATTTTTCATACCCCCTCAATATATAGTTAATGCTTTCTTTTGTCTGGTAGATACCAAGTGTCACTACAGGAATTATAGGTTTTGACGACGTTTATTTGACGGCGTTTTATGAAACGACACATTTTATACTATTTAACGGCGTTTTTAAACCGTTGTTTTTGTTTAATGTTAAAACAGCACCGTTTCACTATTTGAAGGCGTTGAAAAGCGCCTTCAAATGCCCTCTCTCTGGCTACCTAGTTAATACACTCGTTCACTCATCAGGGGATGCCCTAATCTTTTACTCACTCATCAGTCTATCGTTCGTTCTCTCTCTCTCGTTCTCTCTCTCTCTCTCTCTCTCTAAACAGATGCCCTAATCTAATCTCTCCCAGCAGAATGCCCTAATCTCTTCCAGCAGAAATCAATGGATCAATTTCAATTTCGATTTTGATTTCGATTTCATCTGAATCCTTACGCCTTCTCTGATTTCGATTTCAGCTGAATCTCTGATTTTGATTTCGATCTCGAAGCTCTACCGCCGCCGCCATCTGCACCAACGATGTAGGTGAGTTCTCTCTCTCTCTCTCTCTCAACCCTCTCTAAAAGCTTATCATTCACAGAGATTCAGATCGATCTCAGTGATTTCATCTCAGAGCGATTTTGATTTCGAAGCTCCAAAACACCATCTGCACCATCGTCTACTAAGGTGAGCTCCATCGTCTCTCTGTTTCTCTCTAAAACTCTTCATTTCGAAGCCTATTTCAGTGCTGTAATGGAAACATATCTCTCAATTCATTATTATGATCTTCAATAAAGCGTTATAAAGACTTTGGATGTGGAAGAACTTGTATTGAAAATAGAAAACAGTGATTCAAAAACACTTGAATTAGTGATCTGTTGTGGATAATATTAATCAGATTAAGACTTGGATACTAAGCTCCTTGTTTTTCGTGAAAATCATTATATAGGAAGTTTCATTGAGAAGTATCAGTATATGAGCTTCTCTATAAACACTGCAGCATTGCAATTGTGATATTTTTTTTCTTAGTTAGCAAAAATAGCCTTGACTGCTCAAGTCAATGTGAGATGTGTGTTTCAAAAAACCTTAATCGGTCATCTATTCAGATTAGTAATTAGCATTTTTTAAAAAAATATTTTTATCATTGAATTGCTTATTATTATTATTATTATTATTATTATTATTATTATTTTAGTTTGGTACTACCCTCTTCTGATAGATTGGTAAAAGAACTCATTCAAGGGGGTGTTATTTAAAAATAGCATTGGCAAACTGGAAAATTATGAGAAAGTGGGACAGTTAGGAGAGAGAATTTTGAAAACAATGTCAGAGTGCATGAATCAAACTCACCCAACAGATCTAGGACTAAACAACACCTCAGGTTTTATGGACAACCCCATTTATGTGAATTCATGACATAGGAAAAAACCAAAATGTAGTTTTCAACGATTTTTTTCTACCCTGCAGAAGTCAGACTGAGGAAGTTGCAAATTAGGTAGTTTTCAATGGAAAATTTTCTTTTTTGCTCCTATTCAGAAAAATTTTAGAAGACATATAAGAAATTTTTTAGAAATTCATCAGTAGGCAGGCAGTGATATTGTTGTTTATGATGGCACAGCTACATGTGATGATATGGGAGATTATGATTTGTAAATTAGTACCCAAATGGAATCAAGTAAATTACCAGCAAAGCCTTATCCGTAATCAAATTGCAATTAGCACTATACACAACCTGCACATTGGATTTAGGCAGCAAAATCCAGAATCCAGGAGCCTGATCATCTCCTTTTTCATGGATCGAATTGAGATCTCCAATTTATGATTGACGAAGTAGCGCAATGCAATGTTGTGAACTGAAATCGAGATCTCCACTTTATCTAGGAAATAGATAGGATCAAAAAAATAATTGATATGCCTTTTATTGTATAAATAAATAAATAAATTTTTTTTTTGTGTAATTTAGAAATTTCTTCCACTCATAGGCATTATATTTCTTCCTGATTTGTCAACTTGTTGACTCTGCGTTCCTGAACTGGGAACAAAAATTGATATGCCTTTTATTGCTTGAAATGGAGATTGTTTATAAATACTTTTGATGTAATCACGTTCAATTCGATACCTTCTTATTGTAAAGTTAGAATTTTATTTGTGTTACAAAGTTGATGTTGTGTTAGAATTTAAATCTGTTATGGATTTAAAACAGACTGAGGTGGCTTCTACTGATTGGTTAGTGTTGTGGGCCGACTTTAGCATTGACCAAATAATGCAAGCCACCTCAGACGATTGCAAGTCAGCCTTGAAAAGACTATGTTCTCACATTATGTCAATGATCCCATGTCTTTCTTTTTGAGGATGGTGACAAAGTCCATTTGTTGGATAACATGGAATCATATGAAATGAAAAGAAATTTTAGGAGGCAATATGGACCACACATGATTATTCGAATTAAGAAGAAAAATATTATTAGCATATAAAATTGAGGGTAGTAAAGGAAGGAGCACCAACTTTCTTAAAATTAAAGAATATATGCCTGGTGTGGTTTAATTTCTCTATCAAGATGGTGACAAGTCCATTTTTGTGGTACTATGGAGCATGGAATCGCATGATGGGAAATAAAGTTCTAATACAAAAGTTGGTCTTTGTTTCGTCTAGCAATTCATAGGTTTCATTTTCTAATTTCTGTCATGTTGAAAATCTCCTAGCACATTGTCAGTTTCTACATTTCCAGATGAATAAACTATTTGTGCTTGGAATGCATGAGAATGGCAGTGGAGAACTTAACTAGGTGACCTGCCCCAACCCAACACATATCTATTTACTTATATAGTTATGGTCTGGTTAATATTACTTTTTCAGAACCAGGATTGGCTCGTGGTCTGGGCTGTGATGTGGATGCTTTTCAATATGATCAAGTTTCGTAAGCCTTGCACGACTTGAGATAACATGATGGTAGCAAAGCAAAGCAACAACTTTGATCCTCGTGATGCTGCTGCTAATTTTCCTTCAGGTAATGGATTTTCTAATTTTACCATCAGATTCTCAAGTATTCATCACTGTTGTTTAGCTGGCTCTCGGATGTGCTTACAGCTTGAAAGTGCAAATAACATTTTCTTTTCCCAGTGACAATGGCTTGACGACGCAAGAATGGAAAACATGCAAGTGTCCCTAATTATTACTCTGTATCTGCTTCTCATTGCTTAAGTAACTTGAAATTCATAGACTCTTTGCTATAAATACTAAAGAGACAAACCATGCCAGTAATAAAATACTAAAGAGACAAACCATGCGGAGGAGAAACTATAACAAACATGGGTCAGATTGGCCTGAAGAGACAAACCATGACTCACAATGGATTAAGATCTTTGAACAAATTAGACATGCTACAAATGAAAAAGAACGCGAAAGCAATCGCCAAGCATGCCAGTAATAAAAATGGTCCCAAAACTGAGAATGATAGACCATCAAGCGCCATTATATATGGAAGTGGGATGAACATTGTTTTTGTGGGAGCTGAGGTGGGTCCATGGAGCAAAACTGGAGGGCTTGGTGATGTTCTTGGGGGACTGCCACCAGCCATGGCAGTAAGCATCTGTCTCCAGCTCTATTTTTTTTATTTACTATACTTGTTTATTTGCTACTATAGTTGAATCATCTTCTTGGTTAGTTTTGTGGTAAATTGGTAAAACATTTAGGATAATGTATTTTTAACTGATCTGATTTCTATGCCAAATCATTATCTAGGGCAAGGGGCATCGTGTTATGACAGTTTCCCCACGTTACGACCAGTACAAAGATGCATGGGATACTCATCTCAAGTATTCATCACTGTTGTTTAGCTGGCTCTCGGATGTGCTTACAGCTTGAAAGTGCAAATAACATTTTAAAAAATTGGACATGTCAGGTGTGCAAGCATATTTGGCTGGGCTTACATTCGCATTAGCCGTTTCACCTTGCAGCACTGCTGTGCTGGCAACCCTGCTTGGATATGTAGCTGCATCCAAGGTACTTTTAAATGTTTATTGATTTCAATTTCCATCTGAATTATTACCTTTTCAGACTGCTTTATACTGATCGTTCTGGGCCTATAATGATGGCTTAGCACTCTTATCTCTATCTCTCATGTTTGGATGCATCATATATGCTATACATTGCATTTGAGCTTCTAAACCTATTATTTAATTACATAACAAGCAGGTCAACTTAGTATGACTGCATTTATCTTAACATTCACAGTTGAGGGAGCAAAATTGGCACAATATTGGTGGGGCCAATATTTGTAATTTTATAGGAAACCCAGTTTACAAGCAGCTCTATTTTTTTTATTTACTATACTTGTTTATTTGCTACTATAGTTGAATCATCTTCTTGGTTAGTTTTGTGGTAAATTGGTAAAACATTTAGGATGATGTATTTTTAACTGATCTGATTTCTATGCCAAATCATCATCTAGGGCAAGGGGCATCGTGTTATGACAGTTTCCCCACGTTACGACCAGTACAAAGATGCATGGGATACTCATGTTCTTCTTCAGGTAAATTCTATTTTGTGCTTGTTTTGCCAAATTCCAACCATTTCAATGCAAGGTTAGGTTTTACTATATACTAGTCTAGCGAATGATTCTTGGGATTAGTTTCTTCAAAGATAAGTTTCTATATTGCAGATAAAAATTGGAGACCGAATAGAGACAGTTCGCTTCTTCCACTGCTACAAACGTGGAGTTGATCGTGTTTTTGTAGATCACCCAATGTTCCTGGAAAAGGTTTATTTCTGTCCTCAATCAACTGTTCTCGTATTTAGGGGTGAACTATATATACTTTAGCTGTAATAGTCAGCTTGATCTTCATCCATAACAAATGATGGGTATGTATGCAGATTATCAGCCCATAAGAAGCTGGATCATAAGAAGCTGGATCATCCCATAAGAATGGGGCAAATGGATATATTATGAGAATGACTTTGTTTTGGATATATTTGTTGAGATCGGAATGGGGCAAATGGATCATTATGAGAATGACTTTGAAGCAGATATGCTGAAAGATACCGCGGCTTATTATTCTCGAAAGGCTTCAAACTGGATCTTGGAAGATTCCTGTCTAGATTATATATTCTATTCATTTTCTTTTTTTCTTGTTAAGGTCAGATATATTTGTTTGATAATCCTATATAATTTCTAAAAAATCCTTTTGTAACTCTAGGCTGAGGAGTGTTTGAAACAAGAGAAGGATAGGGTTGCTCATTACCCACATTCTAGTAGCGAGCTGAAGTTGCTTGAGGTTTGTTCTTCCTCTTGTAAAGTCATACTAAATTTCTTTCCACCTAATAATAATTAGTCTTTTAATGGTTACTTCTTTTTATTTATTTATTTATTTTAAGGCCAATTTTGAAGATATGCCCTTTTGCAGTTATAATTATGGGTAATTTTGACTCCTTATTTCCATATAACTTTAAGTACTTATAACAGAAATTAGTATTTTTCCCTCCAAAATTCATTTAATTTTGTTAGTCTTTCAAAATCTAAATAAGTTTAATTTGACTCCTTTTTGCACAATTTTGCTTATGTGTACATCTTTCGTTCTCATCATTTGATGACAGCATGCCTAACACACTGCTACTGTAGTTATTCAATTGTTTAGAATGTGACCCATATCACACAAATAAATTTACACCATATATTGAAATCATGAACCTTTTTTTTTTTTTTCTGTGTTCCTCGTTCTCTTCTTAAAATTGCAGAAATTTATATCTATCAAATGAGGAAAAAATCACAAAATCTGTTAAGAGCCCTCTTGTTTCATGGATTATGATATTTGCAGATTCTTTTCTTTTTTCCTTTTCAAAATTAGTAGGTGCCATCACTGGAGCACAATAATGAAATTCGAGGAGAGAGTCTTGATTTGCTAAATTATATTGATAGCTACTTTGAAGGACCAGCTCTTTACCCTGATGTAAGTAGATTTTTCACTCTTGACATAAAATTCAACTCTCTATTGCTTCAAAAATTTGAATTCTAGAGCGTATCAAATGTCTGTAGGATCCCACCAAGAGAGAATTTGCTGAGGAGTTGCTATCCTACACAAACGCCTTTAATCTGGCCGTGATCACTTCACTGAAGGGAGGATCTGAAAATGAAATCAGTAAGATTCAAGACGTGCTATGTTTTTTTTTTTTTGAAGTACTACGATCTAGAAAGAAATTTAACATTTTATATGAATCATAATGTGACCCGCTCTAATAAACCTTGACAGGTACTGCTTTTGATTACCTCGAATCAGCTCTCTTCAAATTTACTGATGGGCCTTTCTTCCTTGGTTAGTTCAGTCTAGTAAGTTAGTTGCACTCTACTAATTTGATATTGGTTTTCCATCTTTACTGTTCTTATATTTAAAATTATTATGTATTACTTAAACTACAAATGCAGTTGTGTTATGCATTGTAGTCAAAGAAGTGCGAACTAATATATACTTTCCAAGAAGTTGGTGAATATATAGTCAATTTGTAAATTGTAATGGAACCCCTAATGTGTGTCAAAATTTCTGTGTTGCAGGTCGACCTAGCATATGCTCCATTCATAGAAAGATTTTATCCCTTATTGCTGGATGTAAAGAAATATGACATCACTACAGGAAGAAATATTTTATCAATCCCCAATCTTTTTTATTTTTTTTATGTCGTTATGATTTACCTTTTAATCATGATGAATGGATAAAACTGTTTCCCATTTTGGTGAATATGTAGTCAATTTGTAAATTGTAATGGAACCCCTAATGTGTGTCAAAATTTCTATGTTGCAGGTCGACATAGCATATGCTCCATTCATAGAAAGATTTTATCCCTTATTGCTGGATGTAAAGAAATATGACATCACTACAGGAAGAAATATTTTATCAATCCCCAATCTTTTTTATTTTTTTTATGTCGTTATGATTTATCTTTTAATCATGATGAATGGATAAAACTGTTTCCCATTCATCCCTGAGGCATAGCCAATCTTTTTTATTAGTAACTTCTATGCTAAAACATGATTTTTGAATATATGTTAGTTTGTGGTTAATGTTAAAACATGTTTTTTGGATTTTGGAAATGTTATTTTGTGGGTAATGGTGATTGGATATTAATTGAATGAGATACTGAATTAATGTTTCATTTGTTATTTGAATGGAGTTATTATTTTATATGTTAGTTTTATTACAGGTATTTAAATGAGAGTTAATATTTTATATTTTAGTTTTATTAGAGGCATTTTTTAAATTCAATCAAATAAAATTAGCACAATTTCCACAAAAAAAAAAAAAAAAAAAAAAAAAAAAAAAGAAAAAGAGGGAAAGGGATATGACGGCGTTTCTACAAATGCCTCCTAAACCCTAAATACTAACGGTCATATTTTTTAAAATAGATATCACGGCGTTTTCAAAACGTCGCTAAATATTGTTGGTGACGTCAGCATGCGTATAGTAGGACATTTAGCGGCGTTTTTTAAAACGCTTCCTATACTAATATCACGACGTTTTTGAAACGTCAAAAAGTTACAGCGACAGCCGCATCTTCGACGCTTGGTACTGAACGTCACAAAAAGAATTGGCGGCGTTTTTGATAGATTTAGCGGCGTTTTTTAAACGCCACTAAAAATTCAATTTCCAGCAGTGTGTTCTCTCACCTTTAAGTGAGCATCACAGCTTGAACAGTCTGACAAATTTTACAATCAATGCATAATTAGTCGAAGTGAAGCACAAACACCCTCATAAGAAAATTTATATGTACAATAATAATAATAATAATAATAATAATAATAATAATAAATAAATAAATAAAGTGAGCAAGCGGATTTATTAAGCGACCTAGTCCAATCCAGATAACTTGCAATAAGTTTGTTTTTGGTGCTTTCATGCTATTTGTGTTTTACATAGGATTGACAAAGACACGCATTATTACAACAAATGGCACTTTTGGCGGCTGAGTTTTTAGTCACAAAACATTGAAAGGTTTTGCCGACTAAAGTATTTGGTCGGTAGCTTATTCGTTGACAATTGTCGGGAAAAATAAATGGCGATTAAATTCTTGTTAGTTGCTGAAAGTCATCAATTCGCAACTAAAACTTTAGTTGCCAAAATTTTTCAAAAAAATATGATTTTAGCTTTCAGCGACTAAAATTTTTGATCACGGATAGATTTTAATCGCAATAGTATTACATTTAGAGAACAAAACATTTAGCCGCCATTAAAATTAAAAGCAATTAAGAAAGACTATCTCTTCACATTATTGTCACTTGTCAAGGCAGTCTAGGCTTTTGGCACTAAAACAAAATGTAAATGGATAACAGTGTGCATCAAAATCCAATGTTGTGCTTATATTGGAGGGTATTTTTGCCCCTTCACAAAAATACTCTCTCACAGTTTATTTTCATACCAAGCACATGTATTATCATTAAAGAAAATACAAAAAATCCATAAAACATCACCCTGAAATTTATCCATCCATGACATGTATTGTGTTGCCGGTCAATTGATGATTTGTTTAAAAATCAATAAATTAAGGTTCAACTTCTTGCCATTACCACATCGGTGTAAATAAATTTAGAGATAATATTTTAAGAATTTCTAGCATCATCTTTAATTATTGTACTTCTTAGGAAAACTGTTGTGCCTTCAAAATAATAAAGCCGAGTATTAAGAGAAAGGGTAAATTACACTTACACCCTCTAAAGTTTGGATTTAATATATATTATCCTTTGACATTTGAAAAATTACACTAACCACCCCTATTGTTGTAATTACTTAGACGGAATGAAAATATTGAATTCATGCACTCTCTCTTTTCTTACTTTACTTTACTTCCACTGCTTTTCTTTTTCCTTTCCTTTGTTTTACTTTTTTTTTTCAATGTAATTTTCTTTATTTTTCTACTAGGAGTTGTTACCTTTTATATAAGTAGGGGGTTTGTGAAATGAGACTATTAACTATAAAGGTAGAAATGTAATTTTTTGAATGTCAAGGAGACCAAACCTCAGGGAGTGTCAGTGTAATTTACTCTAAGAGAAATTTATGCAATGTGATTACAAGCAGCTCTCAATAGAGCCAATTTTAGTTTAGTAGTATTATTTTGGGCTTACATTATTAGATTAGTATAGTATATGTTTTCTGGTATTGCGTTTGTCTGGAACCTAAAATTTAGAACAGAAAAAGGATGAGATGATAGTGGTTAGGGTTGTAAATTTAGCTTGGCTCACTCGGGCTTAGGCTCAGGCTCAGGCCTACCCATGTCGGGTTGAGCAGGCGCCTGCCAAATTTCTAGTCGGGTCAGGCCTAGGCTCAGGAGGTATTCGAGTCTTGGGTGGGCTGGAGGACTAGGCCTCAGGCGGGTCTGGCAAGCCTAGGCCTCGGCACAAGCTTGGGCCGGGCCTGAACATTTTTTTATATTTTTTTCACCGAAATTTTATTCTTTTTCACCAAAAATGACACTGGCCAAGTGGGGCCAAACTTCAAAATGACCCGGCTTGGCTCGACCTGGCCTTTGAGTAAACCTTGAGCAAACCGATGGATTGAGCCACCGGCCAGGCTAGGCAAGCCAAGCTTACATGCCAGGCCGAGCTAGACTTTAAAATGACGATGCAGGTTCAGGCCCAGGCCCAAAGTCCCAAGCTAGGCTCGGGCCCAAACTTAATCGGGCCAGGCCCACCTTGGGCCACAAGCGGGTTTCACATCACCCACAAATCACAAGCCATTTTTACACTCTATTGGTCGTGGGTTTCAAGATTTGGAGGCCTTTATAAAACAAAGCCTTTATAGCCCAAGTTTAAAGTTGGGCATAGATTTTTAAACAACAATTCTACTTAGCTTAGGCCTCTTACAAACAAATACTCTCAAGTTTGATGACAGTATTTGCTCAATTTCATTACCAACAATGCTTCACATAAGATTATGTTTACATCTTAAATTTAAATATATATATATATATAATAAAGTAAGGATTGTTTTTAAATTTGTCTTTCACACATTTATCTTATTATGATATTTGAATGGCTAGGATTCATTTCTACTTGAGATGATAACCTTCTTTCTCACTATCTATCTCAACTTTCTAAGTCCAGATCCTCTGCCGTCTTTTTTTGTGGCGGTTCCTGTGGCGCCCCAAGCGACGTCGTTTTGGGCAAAATTTCAAAAAAGAAAAGAAAAGCAAAGCACAGAATCAGAGAAGGGGAAGAAGATGGCCATCTGTGAGGTTGGATCCTTCAATGATTGTCGATTGGTGAGCTCATCGTTGTTTGTCGGCGTGATCTCTGTGCTTTCTTCGTTCTTCTTCTCTTTCTCCTCTCTCTCTTCCTCTGCTTTCTTCTTCTTCTCTTTCTCTTTGATTCTGCGTTTTTTTTTTTTTGAAATTTTTTCCCAAAACAACGTCGTTTTGGGGGCACCGCAGGAACCGCTGCAGAGAAAGGCGGCAGAGGATCCAGACTCCAACTTTTTGCCCAAGAGGCACACTTCAAAAATAAACCTAAAAAAACTTTGCAACCACCCATCCTGATCTGTCTCACCTCACTTCAAAACACACCCTCACCCACTCTTTACAGAAGCGAGACCCACGCTCATCGAACTCTCTATAAACTCTCCTCTCTTTGTCTTTTAGCCTCATAGACCCAGCCACCGTACAACGCCACTTCCTCTAGTCATCTCCACCGCTGCTGCTTATCACCACTACCACCGCTCATCATCGCCGTCCCCATGGATGGATCAACATCAGGCTACTACCATAACAAAGGAGATAGAGAGTTTGTTATTTGATCGCCACTGCGATTTGGGTATGCGAAGCCCAGGGAAGGCCCAATCCCTGAAGATGTTGCGGCGACGGAGCCTGATCAGTCACTAGATAAGAACTTCGGTTACAACAAGAATTTCGGTGCTGAGTATGAATTGGGAAATGAGGGGCAAAAAGGGAGAAAAATATGGAGACCTCAGAGACCTACCTGTCACACCCCAAATCCGGGCATGACCGGCCGTGGCCCACAGGGACTTAGCCCAAGGCACACGTAAGCCTAAACATGAATCCGAAACCATAAAGAATAAATGTGATGATAGCCCAGAAATAAATAAATCAACACTCAATCCAGTGACATACCACAAGTGAAAAACAAGTCATAACCAACTTCCTAAAAATATATATATACTAAATGGGACACAAACCGCCCACAAAATAAAACGATTCTAAATAAAACCCAACCACAATGTATGCACAAAACTCGACAAAGCAACCTAAAACAAATTAAATAAATGCCCGATCTACTTAGAGTGTATTTCAGAGTTGGGTTCTTTGTTAAAAAGATAGAGTGGGTCGAGGGCTTCCATTTAATCTGAACAATCTTGGGTTTGGAGCACCAGTGAGTAGCAACATGGATAGTAAATACAGTTTTGAAAACAGGGTTCAATTCCAAAATAAGATATATATCACAGAAACTATATTGGCATACAGTTTGGTAAATATAATCTGTTTCGAAAAAAAGGTTCCACAATTCAACGCTTAAAATACTCATGTCTCTCAAGAACATGATAAACGATATTTTCCACTTAAAACAGATTATAACATGAACACCAATAATTTTCTGGGTACCAAGAAAAACAAATAATATGCCACACAGTTCTCAAGGCTATAAGCCCCGTTGGATCCAATACCGAACTAAGAGTCATCCTCAGGGTGGCACCTGGACCTTTTCTCAAAGACGATCCGATTGAAGGTCACCTAGTTGTTTTTAAAGGTCTTTTCCTTACAATCGTTGAGCACTAGAGTCATCACGGCCCAACCTGGATCTGTTCCCTAGTGGCCAGAGTCACCACACACAGTGGAATAATTTCCCTAGACTAAATACACACATGGTCCCAATAATCAATACACATCAGTTTGGCAAAACATGGTAGTTCATCATTATAAACATGAGACCAAAACAAATACTTTACAGTATGCCATGTTCACACATGTTTTAGAAATAATTTGATTCCATTAATAATATAATAATTTATCATAACAGTTTAGTCTTAAAACAACAACTTAATTTTTCAATAGTTCAGGGTAGGGAAACATTTATAAAAATATGTAGCATGAAACTACTCACTTGAAAACGAAATAATATAATCCTCGAATAGAGTGTAAAAGTCCAACTAGTACTCTGAACCAAGTATAAAAACTACACGTCACAACTAATTTAAAAATGCTAAAAAAAATAGGAACTAAGTAACCTCAACTAAAGCGTACTAACACAGCTCAACCCAACTCACCGTTACTCTTAAATATTACCTAAGTTCATGTTCTTCAAGGTTTAAAATCACCCAAGACATGGGTTCCGGTCAAAACTTAATTAATTGACTTGAAGATAAAACAGAATTTCAAATAAGCCTTCCCAACCTATTCGCTAACTTTGAAAATTACAAAACCCACTCCACGCTATTCGAAAAATTCCAATAACCTCTAGATATGATCTAATATATCCTAAGTTTCAAACCCAATTGGTTTCACTTGATTTTTTTATCAAAATAATTATCTAAAATTTATTATATCCAAGCAGGTTGTTTTCTGCAACACTTTAAAGAAATTGACGGTTCTCTTAATATACACGAGCAATCAATGCAAGGCAAAAAAATGTACGAAATTAGACTCGTAACCGGTTCTAATGACACTAATTTGATAATTTTTGGATTTATACCCAAAGAGAACAACACTCCCGAATTTACTGTTTCGGACTGGTTTCCTGGACAGATTTGAATACCTCAATTTATATGGATTTTGACTCCCAAAAATTATGAAAAAATTCAGATATGCAATTCAATATGTAAATGATTTACTGTAAAAATTTCAGATTAAAATTCATCCGTTTGATATGGTTTCTTGATTTTTAAAATTTGTGACTTTGTACAGAATTTTTAGACTACAATCTACACCCTCTATGTTGCACTCTCACAATCCGACCCATTACCACCCAAACACACCTTCAGCCCTTCACCTTACCAAAGCTATACATGCTAGCCTCCAAATAACCTCTGCACACAAGCCATACACTATACCCAAAAGAGTACTCAAGAATACCCAAAACAGTGGCACATCACAATGAAGAAAGAAGGGGAAAAAAAGTAAAAGAAGAGACAAAACAATTAAAACATTTGTCTACCTTGAAGAATTTGCTTTAGATTCAGATGATTCCTAGAGACACCCAACGTAGCTTCTCTTCTCCTCTCTCCTTTCTTTCTCTCACGGCTGCTATGTGTTGAAAGTTTTGTGGGTAAAAAAATTATAATAAGGGTTAGGGCTTTTGTTAGGAAAACTAGGGCTTTTTTTTTTATTTATTTATCTAAACAAAAGATTTTAAATTATTATCTCTTTATATTATTTTAAATTTCTATCTCCATTAAAATACAAATATTATTTGATCAAAACATGCTTACTAATTTGGCACTTAAATTTATTTATTTATTTAAATGATAAATCTTGCCTCTAAATTAAAGACTTTCACCATAAATTTATTTTAGGTTTAAAATTAATTAAAAGATTCTTCAAATATTTAATTTGTACTTTAAAATTTACCACCAAAATATTTAAAATTATAATATTATTATTATTTAATTATTTACTTAATTTTTATATTCAAATTCTCACGTTACCTCTTGCTATCAAAATCATCATTAAAGCAATGATTCCACCTTCTCAATTATTCTTGATTTTAATCACTTTTAAGTACATTGATATATCATACATGTGACCACCTCACTTCTACGGCATTTGCAGTTTGATCCAATTGATAGGAGAGAGATCAACCTTCTGGATAGAGGAGTAGGTGAGATGTATCTCATAGGTGTGAGAGAATGAGTGGTGGAAGATGGCGGAGAGAGAATGGGTGGGGAATTGATGGACAAGTCATGTGGTTCTGTGTTTCTAACCCTTAAATTTTTTATTTTTTATTTTTTTTTTCTATTTGTTCTTTATTTATATAGATTTTTTTTTTATGTAATTTATGGATTTGGATTTAATTTTTAAAAAAATTTTAAATCTGAAATAATATTATTTACACAGTGTCTAAGGCACAAATATACAGCAAGTATATATATATATAACAGATAAACGTGAATTCTTCCACAAATTACTTCTAATCAAACCTAAAATCAAAACATAGTTAATAGAAGTTGTGTTTAGATTTTTAAGTGTTTGAACAACTGGACTGCCGATTTTATCAATTGCATTCCCTTTCTTGTTGTGGTTTAAATGAAAAAAATAGGTTGGACCTCTCGAGCCTTGGCTTGATAGGTGCAAGTGGAATATCCATGAATTTTGTATTTTTGTTTTTAAATGAGATGTTCTCTTTATTGGAGATAATAAAAAGAAAATGAAGGATATTGTTGAAAATGCTTTTACAGATACCAAATTTACACTATTTGTATTATTATATTGGTTGTCGTGTTCCTAAATTATCTTTCATTATTTATTAGTAGTCTATTCATAATCCATAAACATTTCTAAATTTATTTATATTTTGCCTATAAATTACGTAAATAAAATTTTATTTTATTATATTTATATGTAAATCTAAGTAAACGCTTCTTTAAATAATTGCCGTCAAATATGTTGGTGAAACTTTAACATCCATTTGTTTCTTTTGTATTTGATTTTAGGATGATGCATAATAGGTATGGTGAACTTTCACATCCTTTTTTTTTTTCTTGGGAGAATGATACGTAATAAGAATAAGACCCAACAAAACAAAATGAGATATCAATCTCATTCCTGGTTTGACTTCCGTAATATATAGTTGCAATATTCCACAGACAGAGAAACAGAGAGAAGAAGAAGAAGAAGAAGATGGCCAATCTTGCTGCTGCTGGTGGAAGTATTAATGCAACTGGGAGTGGCAATAGTAATAAGCCTCACGCGGTGTTCATTCCATTCCCACTGCAAGGCCACATAACACCATTGTTGAAACTTGCAAAGCTGTTCCACCACAGGGGTTTCCAAATCACCTTCGTCAACGCCGCCTTCATCCACCGCCGCCTTCTCAAATCCTCTGCAGCCTTTATTTCTTCTGTGGCCGGCTTTCGATTCAAAACCATGCCCGACAGCCTTCCTTTTGGCGATGATGAGGAGCTCAGTCCACAGCTACTCTTCTCCATCTGCCAAGCCTCCCGCTACAACTTCTTGCTTCCATTTCGCCAACTTATTTCTAAACTCAACGACGATGATGGCAGTGCAGCAGCTCCGGTGACTTGTATTGTATCTGATGCTCTTATGGCCTTTCCCATCACTGTTGCTCAAGAAATTGGGGTTCCTGGCTTCCTTTTCTGGCCTAATAGTGCTTGTGGTTTCATGAGCATGAAGCACTATAACCTTCTCAAGCAAAGATCTCTTATACCACTTAAGGGTATGTACATGTGCTTAATAAATAAATAAATAACTACGCACTCCATTATTTCACATCGATTACTATCTTAATTCTCGTTTTTCTTCTCTCCACTTTATATGTATTGTCGACAACCAAGTATTAATGCATTTATACCACCGGCATGGTGGTCCAGCGGTTCCCTCCCTCCACTCAAGATGTACGGGTTTGACACTCAGGGGACCTGACCTATACTTTTGCCACAAAACTCTACAACCTTTGTTGTGAAGTGGGTGTATAGCTCACTGTTATCCCGGTAGAGTCGCTTCTTTTAGGTTGGGTTACCAATTGACTTTCTTAGAGTAAGGGCCTGCGGACGCTATGATGCTCCCACGGAACTTCCTTCTTTTTTTTTAGTTCAAAAAAAAAAAAAAAAACTACTATTAATGCATTTATAGGCTTATTTCTTGGTAATTTTAAATCCTTTCTTTATCATCCTATTTTCTTGGTTGAATGCTGGTTTTGCCTTTTCCTTTCTCTTTAATATAGAATTAAAAATGAATATGTGAAATGGTATGAGTAGCATGGTAAGTTTGGTTTGGTTTAATGTATCACAATATAATGCAATAGAATGAATACAAAATTACAATAAGGATCAAACACAAATCAAATCATAATTTTGATATAAAGACCCTAAACAAATACAAGAGAAACAAGACCTCACCTGTTAGTGGAAAGAGTCATGTCACAAATCTAGTCGGATAATCAATTATACACTAATTTTATGAATTGTTAATCCCCCTTCACTAGTAATATTGCTAATCAAAAATTAATCACATTCCTTATTATAGGCAATATGGTCTGATGTACCCATGTCTGTGTGCTTCTTAGCATGTATCACTCTTGACAATGATTGTGTGGTATGGAAACTAATGGCTGCCTGCTAATAATGTGAGGAAATACTTCTTTGTATTCTATAGATGTATGAAGAAATAACCAGAACCAAGGTCTCTGCAGTGCATATATGGCTGCTTGAGTTTTCTAAAGGTACTCCAGTTCAGAGAATAGGTTATGATATGGAAGGTGATGGCCGATAAGGGATTTTGCCCATGGTGATCAAATACGGATCCATTCCTTATTAGCGATTTTAAGACTCAGCGGCAGATTCACTCAGGAATGTGTTTTAGCCATAGAGGGAAATAGACATGGCTTGTAGATTGTAGTGGTCTCGCGCTGGTATATTGATTATCGATGCAGAAGTCATGATAGAACTTATTGATTGAGTTAGAAGAACTTGTACTCTCTCTCCACATTTAAAACCAACACCATGCAAAATTTTGAAGGAAAAAAAGATAGAAAGATTTTAATGAAAAGCTATACATAAAAGAAAGGGATTTTGTTATTTTCAAGATATTGAGTCCGATCACATTAAACATCTTTTAAGGTTCCATTGTTTTTTATTCGTAAATGTGATGTAGTTGCACCTCTTTGTCAACTAACCATTTTGTTGATTTACAGATGAGCTTGCAGACACCATTGTAGATTGGATTCCTGGATTGAAAGATATCCGTCTTAAGGACATTCCATTTGTAGAAATAGACAACTGTGACTTCCCCATGAGAGAAATGGAGGAAGCATACAAAGCTTCGGGAATCATTTTCAATACTTTTGACATCCTCGAGCAAGATGTTTTGGATGCCATCTCGGCCATGTTTCCTCATGTTTATACCGTTGGCCCTCTTCAGCTTCTCCTCAACTCAACCTCTGATGATGGGTTGAAGTCTATTAGCTGCAGTCTATGGGAAGAAGAATCTGAGTGCCTGCAATGGCTCAATTCTATGAAACCCAACTCAGTTGTTTACATAAGCTTTGGCAGTGTTGCAGTCATGGAGCCACAGCAGCTGACTGAGTTTGCCTGGGGCATCGTCAATAGCAACCAACCTTTCTTATGGATAATTAGACCCAATTTGGTGATGGGGGAGGCGGCAGCACTGCCACCTGAGTTGCTAGAAAAGATTGAAGGGAGAGGTATGATCGCAAAGTGGTGCCAACAAGAGCAAGTTCTTAAGCACCCCTCAGTTGGAGGGTTCTTGACGCATTGTGGATGGAACTCAACTCTCGACAGCTTATGTGCTGAAGTGCCCATTTTGTGTTGGCCATGGCTTGGTGATCAATGTATAAACCGTAGATATAGTTGCACCCATTGGGGTATTGGCATTGAGATGAATAAGGATGTGAAAAGAGACGAAGTGGAGAAGCTTGTGAGAAACTTAATGGAGGGAGATCAGGGGAAAGAATTGAAGAAAAAGATCATGGAGTGGAAGAAATTGGCAGCGGAGGCCACAAGTGACGGTGGATCCTCATTCATGAATTTGGAAAAATTGGTGAATGAAGTACTAGGATAATTTTTACGTTTTTTAAGCATTGTAATAATTCCTTTTTTGGTCTGGGAATGTGCTGCCTTAGCTCCTTTGTCTTGTTGGATTCAAGAGAGTAGAAAAAAATAAAAATAAAAAATAAAGAAACGACGGAGCTTTTACTTTGTGAATCATTCTTAATGATGTGCAATATATATGGCTGAGACATTATTTACCATTTGATTTTGTGGGTTTATTGTAATTTCATTTTTTTAAATAAAAAAGAAAAACAATATTCAGTTATTGCAGCCATGGTTTGTTTATTTATTTGCTGGTGAAACAGTGTCAATGTAATAAAAGCTTCCCTATAAGGGAAATTATTAAATAGTTAGAGAGTACCACGTGATGTTGTTGTAGTGTTCTCGGTCAATAGAAATATGTAATCCACACTAAATGGGTCATCCTTGTCTCCCAATTATCTAACAAAATGTGAGTTACCATGTCCCACTCGTAGAATATCTCATTACGCTATTGGTTTGAACCATCACATAGGCAATATCACATAGTGCTTCCAGAGTACACTAGTAAAAAATCAACATTTAGCAGCATTTAAGAAATGCCGCTATAGGTGAAACTCCGAAATCGCGATCGTCGCTATAACTTTATGGCGTTTTAAAAACGACGTCATATTAGTATAGGCGGCGTTTTTAAAAATGCCACCAAATGTCCTACTTAAGAGTATCATGACGTCACTGTGATATTTAGCGACGTTTTTGAAATGTCGTCATATCTTTTTAAAAAAAGCTAACCATAAGTATATAGGGTTTAAGTGGCGTTTTCAGAAATGCCGTGATATCTCTTTTTTTTTTTTTTTTTTTTGAAATTGTGCTAATTTTATGTGATTGAACTAAAAAAATATATGTAATAAAACTGAATAGCACTAATATGAAATAATAACTCTCATTCAAATAGTAAACGCAACATTAATTCACTTTCCCATTCAATTTAATATTCAATCGCCATTACCCACAAAATAACATATCTACAAATGATGTTTTAACATTACCCACAAAACAACATATCCAAAAATTGAATTCACAATTCTCAACAAAAAAATTACTACTTTGTATACAACGCCACAAAATAACATTACCCTCTTCTCTCTCAATCGCTCACCACTCCCTCCACCATTTAACACAAAAAATAAGAAGAAAGTGAACCAAAACACCTAACCCTCCAATCAGATCAGAGGAAAAAAAGAAAAAAGAAGAGAAATAAGAATCCAAAGGAAAGCCCCCATCCATCATTCACTGTCATTCTGAATCGCCGCAATGGTGTGGCAAATTTTGGCATTGTACCACCAAGAATAGCAAAATGCCAAATTTTGGCAGCTTTGAAGAACATGAATGGCAAAAAAAATACAATACATTTATATAAATAAAACAAAAATCTAGATAAAAACATTGTAAAGCGAACACAAATAAAAGCAAAGTGGAAGTCAAAATCTTTACATGATTTCTCCCAAACTACAGGATCAATAAAAGGGCCGATCTCGATAGTTCAACCCATTAGTCCAATATCCAAATCTGGCAATGTGTGATTAATAAGAGTTTTTAAACTTGGAAATAAAAAAATAAAAACTAATTTTTTTAGATCTAGATCAAGCTTAACAAAAAGAGATACAACATATTTGATTAACTAAGCTTTTGCTAAATCAAGTACAAGAAGAAGTGTGAGCCCACATTTTATTTATCTTAACAATGAAATCTAGAGCACAAGACAAGCATGCATAGAAGAACACAATTTATTAATTGATGACATATGTTCTTCAGAGTCTGGAATTAATTCTTTGGAACAAAAACACAGTTGATATAATAAATGCCAAAAAATAACATTCAATGATAGTCAATAATTTATTACACTTTTTCAATGAATATAGCGTGAATTGATAACCAAAAAAATAAAATAAAATAATAAAAAGAGTAGAACATAGCAGCAGACCTCATCAAGGATGTCATTCATATATGCAAAAGCTCGAGCAATCGGATTCCCTAAAAAATTAACAATCAAAAGCCTAAGCAGGAAAAAGGCTATACCCAAAAAAAATTCCCAATGAGTCTTCAGATCTCAAATGAATAAAAAATCTTAGATCTGAAACATGTGTTTTTGAATGAAAATCTCATATCTAAACGATATTGTTTTGAATAAAGATTTTTAATGGGGAAAGACTATATATTTTCGAATGAGAAAATTCAAATCTCAAACAAATATTTTTGAATGAGAACTTTCAAATCTTAAACATATATTTTTGAATGAGAAAATCTCAAATCTGAAACATATGTTTTTGAATAAGAATTTCAAATCTCAAACATATTTTTGAATGAGAAATCTCAAATCTAAAACATATGTTATTAAATAAGAATTTCGATAACATGAAGACATTGGTGCTTCAAACTTCAAATCTTACCTTCTTGAGGGGAAAAAAACGATGATCTAGTCTCAATAACGGTGGCTAGATTTAGATGTAGCGGTATAAACGATATTGCCTTCAAGGAATAAGAAGAACCCCCAAAACACAACAATCTAGGGTTTCACCGTTCGAACTCAGATCTCACAACAATCAGAGAGAGAATTTACCGATTGAAATCGCAAAGGGCACGTCAGGCAAGAGGAGAGTTTATCCAAACCCTAGGAGAAGAATCAACGGAAGGAAGACCTTGAGAGAGAGAGAGAGAGAGAGAGAATATGAAACTGAGATTATAGACGGTGGTGCTCACCTTAGTAGACGATGCAGATGGTAGTGGTGGTGGAGAAAGAGAACTTCGAAATCGAAATCACTCTGAGATTGGATCTGAGATGAATCATGAGCTAAAGAAGGTTGAATCTTAATCTCTGAGATTGAAGGGTTTACACAGAGAGAGAGAGAGAGAGTGAGTGAGCAAAAGGTTTGAGGGATCAATTTCTTTGAGCAAGTGAGCAAGGGAATTGTAATCTCAGATTCAAAATGAGGGTTTGAAGAAAAATGGAGGTTCTGATTCTTACAGAGCTAGGAGAGAGAGAGAGAGAGTTAGAGTGGGATAACCACTACAACAATTTACACTTTTGGCAATCAAAATTGGCGACTAAAAAGAATTTAGTCACCAAAAGTTAACTTTTTGGCGACTAAAAAATGTATTAGTCGGTGTTTGTTTAGGCTGTATCTACTAAATTTTTTTAGTTGAGATATATTACTTATTGGTGACTAAAAAAAATTTAGTAGCTTAATATGCCACCTTTTGGCGACCAAAAAAATATTAGTCGGCGTAAGTCAAGATTTTAGGCTACTAAATGGGGTTTTAGTTGTTGTATATTAATTATTGCCGACAAAAAAAAGTTTAGTCGCCAAATAAACAGCAATATTTTACGTTACTCTTTGGCTACCAAAAAATTAGTCGGTAAATGTCCACTTTTGGTGACAAAAACATTTTTAGTCGTGGTTTACTCAATTTTTTCTGACAAAAAAAAATTAGTCACCAAATTACAAGTTTTGGCGACTAATATTTTAATAGCTAAAAATGAAGAGTTGGCTACAAAATTTTTAGTCATTATATATTAGTTTTCAGTTACAAATAGCTAGTTTAGTCGCTAAAGGTATAATTCATTTTAGAGGGAAATGAATTTTAATATTGTCACCATGTTCTATGTTTTTGGACATCTGATTCTTCTCTTTCTCACAGACAGATTCTCTGTGACCACCAAACCACACCCCACCTGACCTCAGTGCAGACCACCATCTCTCGCCACCGCCACGCTGCAAATCACCACCAGCACTGCTGCATTCTCACAAGTTTTCTCTCTCTCTTTCTCTCTCTTGAGGCCTAAATAGTATTCTACCTCAAAGATATCTGACCAAATATGTATTTTTTCTTTTCTTGAAAAAATAATTGGAAAACAAATAAATGGACCCAAGGCTGTGATTTGTGTTGTAGCTTCCCAGCTTGCTAATCTTGGTGAAAGTGTGATAGGTGCTTCTCTACAAGAAAAAGAAGGATTCCGATGGGTAGGTGACCAACGCAAATTATCATTTCAATTCTTTATTTTTTACCGTATGACTAAGAAGTGAAGTTAGTTCTGACCTGGTATAACACTGGGAAGATTGCTGTTTAGCAACTTAACTCCATTTCTCTCTCTCTCTCTCTCTCTACTATTGTTCTGTTAGGGATTTTAATTCATCGCTGCTGACATCTATTGGTGGTTTGATTTTGCAGCTGAACAATGATGTTATTAATGTCATCAACATATCTATCGGAAGTATTTTGGCAGTCTTGATACAACAAATTGTACTCTAGAACTCCATGTCTTGCTCTCATGTGGCTGTTATAGCTGCACTCATCAAAGCCATACACCCTGATTGAAGTAGTGCTATGATAAGATCTACACTCATAACAACCGGTACACTTGCATGTTTTAACTTATTACATGTTATCTATTTTCTAGCTTTCAAGACATCTTTCATGTCTTAATTTTTATAGGTTTTTCATCTTCTTTTGGCACAGCCAGGCTAAATAATAACCAAATGACACTTTTCTTTCTCTCTATTAACCAAATGACACTTCTCCTTCTCTCTATGTTCATTCTAGACAAAGCAGGCCAAAGGATGCAAAAATTCTATCTCATAGTGATGTTCTACTAACCACCTATGGAGTTTTATCTTCAGAATTTTCAACAGAGGTATCTTGAAGGGTTCTTGTTTGAATTTAATAATAAAAGTAATATGATGGATGGATAATGTTGCTGTTTATGTTAGCATTTCACAGCTAGCTTCCTCGTGAGAAATACGACCTGTTGCAACAGACAACATGTAATTAGAACACGTAGGTTGAGAGTTAGAGCCAAAAACGCATTAAACTTAGTTGAAAAAGGGCGTTCGGGGGGACGAAAATGCAAAACAGCCCCCGACCACTAAATGCATGTCATGGCAAGCTTCCTCGTGACAAACAAGACCTGTTGCAATAGACGAAATGTAATTAGCATGCGTAGGTTGGGAGCTAGAGCCTAAAACGCCTTAAACTTAGTCGAAAAAGGGCGTTCGGAGGGCAAAAATGCAAAGCAACCCCCAAACCAATGTATTCATGTCACGGCAAGCTTCCTCATGACAAATAAGACATGTGGCAACAGAGGGAATGTAATTAGCATGCGTAGGTTGGGAGTTAGAGGCGAAAACGCTTTAAACTTAGTCGAAAAAGGGCATTTGGAGGGCGAAAAAACAAAACAGTCCTCGAACCACTGTATTTATGTCACAGAAAGCTTTCTCATGACAAATA